TAACGGTAAAACAATCTATCCCAATTTTTACTTTTTTCTAAAACTCATGCTCCAAACAAATTCTTAAAAATTTGTATGGTTCTCTTGATTTGTCTATGTGAGAGAAGTTGATATGCGATTATAAAACTTAATGTGATCCCGAAAGCTTGTTGTAATTAAAATTTTCCAAAAGTAAAAAATAAACCTTGGATCCTCTTTCTAAAATCATATTTATAGGTATATTTTGTAATTTGATTATTTCTCCTAGGTTGTTAAATGTTAATAGACTTTTTTATTGGCCAATCTTGTACATTGTAGACTATATTAATATGGAAGATAATCTTGGTGAAGGTAGAGTTTCTTTTTTGCCTTCTTTAAAGTCGTATAGGGTTATTAAAAATTTGGATATATCCGAATATATAGACGATTGACACGTACTCTAAAATATAGAGGGGTAGACTATATAGACGATTGACACGTACTCTAAAATATATTGTAAGTGAAGAATCTTAATATTTATAACAATTTAAGAACTTTCCAATTTACTAATACTGAAATATACTCATAAGTAAAAACTATAATTTTCACCTTAAGAATATAAAATTTTAAATGATTGTCCCAATGCATCCCACGTTTCAATCTACATGATCCAATGTTGATGGACCACCGTACACGATACAATGTAATACTCACAGCGGAACCATGTCTATGCCATACGCTACCCATTGGCATTGACAGACAGTATTCAGTGAATATCCCACGAATTGCAACCAATGGATTTTGGACGACAAATGTGTCGATGTTTCTCCACACTTGAATTAGTGCTTGACATTTATGGCTCTGGTTTAGGTCATGTTTATCATCAATCAGCGTTAAGCACTTAAAATTCAGGGAAGTGTCTTCTCTCGGGTACCCCCCTATACTTTTCCAAAGTTTTCTTTGGTTTTTATTGCCTCACATCCTCATCTTTCCAACCCTAGAAACAAAAGCCTAGCAAGTAGCAATATCCACTAAGTGTGATCCATCATATACCACTATACCAGCCTTTTTCATCGGTCTTCAGTTTTCCGCTGTATACTTGATTTGTTCTGCCTTATTAATTAGTGAATAGGATGAGACTTTTATTTGTTCAACAGGTCCTTATTTTGCTAACATGATAGGCTGTGGGCGATTTGGGTGGCTGCACAGAGCAACGCAAGGCCATTTTTCGCAAGTAGTACCTGTGGCCCTTGCGGTTGATTTTGGATTAATTAATGGGGTCGTTATTATATTTTATGGGTTTTTTTCTTCGGGAAATGTGGGAGTTAGGAGAACTGAATTACCAAACAACCTATATATATATATATACACAAACTGGCGGACCCAGTCACAAGTGCGTACATGAACTTTTGAAAAATAAAATAAAAATTTATTTACATATAAAGACTGCGAGGAGAATTTGGCCATTGGGTAGTCAATAGTGGCCACAGTGGAAAGAGTCTTCCATGATATGCCTTCTCGGTCTCAAACCCAATATATATATAAAAAAAATATCAGTTATCCGTATAGTTTGTCTCAGTGTTTTAAAACTCCACCCCACCTCCCGGGTTAACCCTGACCCCTCTCCTCTGAGGGTTGGGGTCACAAGTTGGACCCTATATACACATCGACCCCTCCGACCCCCAAAACTCAGCCGGGTTTCAGTGACTCCCGGGTCAGAGGGGTCAAAGGGGGTCACTGCATATTTTTTTTTAAAAGAAAATTCCATGAAACAACATCATTTTATTAAAAAATAAAAATAAAAATGCTTGCAAACTTAAATCTAATCTTTCTCTTCTCTCCAAACGACCTAGACTTGTGGCATCTTGATAATTTGGTATCATTAGAATATGAGTTTTGTACTTTGGTATCATGATACTTTAATTAGGTTGTGTAATATTGACTTGTGGTTATAATTGGTAAATTATGTTAATGATATTTTGAATCTTTGATGATTGGTGATTTGCATTTTAATATTTTCATATAGGATATATATATATTTATATTTTTTTAATGGAAAAAATATTTCTGCAGTTAATGCATAAAGTTATCTGCATTTATTCCCAAAACGACGTCGTTTTGGTATTGAAATCTAAAAATTTAAATATAAAGACTATTATAACCTTGAAATAAATTAAAATTATAAAAACACCATGATTTCCGCCTCAAAACGACATCGTATTGGCTTACTGCAGATAACTTATCTGCAGTAACTGCAGAAAAAGCAAACCCTTTTTTAATATATAAAACTGGGACATCGTAGTGACCCCGGGACCCCCGGTTGAACCCGTGACCCCTGACCTCGGCCGGGTTGGGTTTTTAAACACTGGTTTCTCTCCCCTCCAATGTATTAGTGGATATAATTTTTTCGTCTTATTATAAGGTAAAATACACACATATAAAAGTATATTAAATTTAAATTTTATTTTTCTTTCATATTTTCACATAATTTTATATGAGTCTCATATATTTTCATGTGTATAAAAATAATTGTTCTATTATAATAATTTAGTTATTCTTGGTTATTATTATTTTATGTTAACTTGAAATTTTTTTTTTATATTCTTTTACTTTTAATGTATTTTTTTGGGACCACTAAGTGTGCGGAAATCCCCTCACTAAGTGTGCGGACAGGAATAAAATTTTCTGGGTCCGCCACTGTATATATGTATATATGTAGGATTTTATAAGAGTTATGTTGTAGGAAAAGTGATTGTGTAATGTTATAGAGATTCGTTTTGCGTGTCGTAATTTTTTTTTTTCAAAAAGTGTGGGCCCACAAAATGTTGTGTGTGTAGAAAAGTTTGTTGTGTAATGTTAAATGACAAAAGCAAACCCCATATATATATATAGAGGTAGGATCCTTTGATATCACTGTCAAATTTCAAATTTGACACCTCATCTGATAGCCGTTAGATAAAAAAAGATCAATGATACCAGATGCTTACAAATCAAAGTCGTTGATTTTTTTTATCTAACGGCTATCAGATTATGTGTCAAATTTAAAATTTGACACCGATGTCAAAAGATCATATCTCATATATATATATATATATATATATATATATATATATATATATATATATATATATATATATATGGGATTTAATTACGTAAAGTAAAGTATATTAATTGGATCTTTCAGGCGTTGAAATTAGAAGGATCCAGATTTTCTATATTCAACGAATAAAGTTAAAAGACACATGTACTATGCATTCTTTTTTATTCGAGGGTGGTAATTAAGAAATGTGCTTGCGTTTATTGAAACTCGTACACAGGTTTTTTTTTTTTTTTTTTGGTAAACAACTCGTACACAGGTATTTAATCTATTGTGAAAATATCATTAGGTGTATATTCTTCATATTCATTTCATAGATAATCCACCAGTACGACATCTTAAAATTTTAATACACTCATAATGTGAATAGCTACGCTGTTTTTTCGATAGAAAGTGACTCTTGGTAAAGTTGAAATCCTAACAATCTGTCCACTGGTTGCCATGAAAGTTAATTAGTGGTATCTTATTAATCCGCGTTGCCAGTTTAATAGTGGGGCTATTTGTTCTTTTTTTCTTGCTATCAATTTAATATAATTGGGTTCTTTTGCATAAATTAGTAATGCATCTTATTCCATCTGAGGCCGAATAGTTGGGTACCTGGTGCCGCGTCAATGCAATTTAATGAATAAGAAGGAACTAGTTCTCAACTTTTCGAGCAAACTTTGGGTGCTACAAATAGAGGTGACAAAGTGGACGGCCCGCCCTGCCCCCGTCTCACCCCGTCATCAATCTGTCAAAAAATGAGTCAGCTCGCCCCGCTCTGCTTTTGAAAGTGAGCTGAAAAACTCAGCCCACCCCGCCCCGTTTGGCGGGTTGCCCGCCAGCCCGAATTTATTTTACACTGACCAACCTCGGCCCGTCTATGCCCGCCATCAACCAACCAAAAAATGAACCCGCCTCACCCCGCTTTTGAGATGGGTTGAAAAACTCAGTTCGCCCCATCCTATTTGACGGGTTGGGCGGATTGGCCCGCCGAACCGAGCTTATTTTTCCGGCTCTAACTACAAATGCATGGTGCAGCGGTTAAAAAAGGTCAAAAAAATTTAGGATTTAGATGGAATGAAAAATTAAAGTGCAGGTAAAAATGGGAAGAAAATTTTCATTTTTTGAAAAAAGAATATACCTAAGTGGATACATCCAATGTATTGTATAGAAGAAATTTTCCAACTTTTCCCCTTCCTTTCTTACACATGGACATATAATTACATATTTAAAAGAGAAATATATTCACTTACCTAATGGTATTTACCCTTGTTTTTTTGGCAACTTTCAACTTTTTTAAAAATATAGTACACTACACCAACCAGCACTAAAAAATATTCTCCTTTAGATGAGCAAACCTAAGTTTGCATTTATTCCAAGACAAGAAATCCAATGAAATCCAGTATTAAAGTTGTTGTTATTTAAAAAAAGCAACCTAATTTCATAAGTACGAAAATCTAGCTAAAAAAGGTACATCTTATGTATATTTTTGGATACTTCAACTTTTTTAGATAAACTTATCGAAACATACAAAAAGACAACAAAAGTATTTTTCTAAAATCTTTGTTTATCAAGAAAAGCACAACAAAAGTAGCAAATTTTTCATCAATAACCATTAAAGCAATTAATATGGGGAAGTGAAAGTACTTTTGAAGTGTAGATTATTGAAATTACTAAATTACCAAGCAGATCCAGCACGTATTCCTTGCCCTGCTGCAAACGGTACCTCAAGTTTGTCTTCTCGTCCCGCTCCTGTGCTGTTATTGTCCACGTCTATACAAGTCCCTTAGCTGGCCATGACTAGACTAAAATAATGATTTCCGCCGAAACTTGAAAGCTAGCACCACAAACTCATTGAATTTGGTTTATTACTTTATATTAGGTGAGAATAACAAAACAGCAACGCGTTATCAAGCTGGCAACTCTGCCAGTTAACCTCACTCCACTCACAAACAATCCCCATAATTTGACTTCACCTTTACGCCCTCTCCTCTTTTATTTTGTCTCCTTCCCTACACCTTCCTTTCTATATCCCAATCCCCTCTTACTATATATACCTGCAACCATATCTCTCTTTTCCATCACCTCATCTTTCAAGTTACAACTTCTCACTTCTTACACTCTTTTATTTTCTATCTCTCTCTATACAAAATACAAACAAATGGCCTCTCTTATATCCTCATCTCTTCTCTTTAGCCTTTTTCTCACCATTTCCCTACTTCACTTGAGCTCGGCTAGGAGACTCGCTGAGTCAGAGTCAGAGTCAGACCAGCAGTTACAATTCAAATACCACAAAGGCCCTCTCCTAACTGGCAAAATCTCTGTCAACCTCATTTGGTACGGCAAATTCAACCCATCCCAGCGAGCCATCATTGCAGACTTCATCACATCACTCTCCTCTCCCAAACCCATCACCACCGCATCACAATCACAACCAACCGTGGCAACATGGTGGAAGGCCACGGAGAAATACTACAACCTCATCAACTCCAACAAGTCACCCAAGCTAGCCCTCTCCCTCGGTTCCCAAGTCATCGACGAGAAATACTCTATGGGCAAATCGCTCACTGATGACCAAATCGTGAAGCTCGCATCAAAGGGTCCCCAAAAACAAGCCATCAACGTGGTTCTCACAGCCGCAGACGTAGCCGTTGATGGACTCTGCTCCAGCAGGTGTGGGACTCACGGTTCCTCAATGGGTGGACGCGTGAATGGGAAGAGGTACAGATTCGCATACATATGGGTGGGTAACTCGGAGACTCAGTGCCCTGGTCAATGCGCGTGGCCATTCCACCAACCCATATACGGTCCCCAGAGTGCACCATTGGTTGCACCAAACAACGACGTTGGTGTCGACGGAATGGTCATCAACGTGGCAAGTCTGTTGGCTGGGACTGCAACAAACCCATTCGGGAATGGGTACTTCCAAGGACCCAAAGAGGCACCACTCGAAGCTGCATCTGCTTGCACTGGTGTCTACGGTAAAGGGGCATACCCTGGCTACGCTGGGGACCTCCTGGTGGACCCCACAACTGGATCTAGCTACAATGCGAATGGCGTCAATAAACGGAAATACTTGTTACCAGCTCTCTTTGATCCTAAAACATCAGCTTGTTCTACGCTCGTATAGACGCACGTCGTGCTTCCCCAACTCTAAAATTTTCCACTCTGTTTAGCTATTAGGCAATGAGATATTCTTTCATTTGTTTATTACTTTTGTTATAAATTGGATACAATTATAAAAATATGAAATTTAGTTGATGTTCTTTTTCTTTTTTTATCTTCATCTATACGCGCAACACACAGATTATGCACTCCACATGGCATACCTCGCTGAGGCTGAAAATCGGGAATTATTTTATTGTTTGTGAAGTATGTACATCAATATATTGAACTAAAACATGCTATTGAAACCCAAAGTAAAAAAGAAAATAAATTCATATCCCTCCGTTACTCTAATTAATTTTCCCAATCACGCTCATCAGGTTGAGGTTTTTCTTTTCTTTTCTTTAAAAAACATGGATTAGAGACGGAATTTAGAGACAAAAAAAAATCCATCTCTAATAGAAACGAATTCTGTGATGGAATAACAATCCTTTGCAAATAGGGAGGGAATTAGAGACGAAAATATTTTTGTCTCTGTTATTGATGGATTTAGAGACAGAAAACCAATCCTTATCTAATAGACACAAATTCGTCTCTAAATCTGTCTCTAATAGAGATGCCTATTTCTCCGTCTCTAATAGGGATAGATTTAGAGATAGAACATAATATATAAAAATAGGAATAATATTAAGGATATACGTTTGGGCTTAGTGAGGGAATTTAGTGATAGATTTTTTTCCATCTCTATCGGCGATGGATTTAGAGACGTAACTACATGTTACGTCTCTAATTCTGTCACTAATAGAAATGAAACTTTTTTGTCTCTATTAACGAGGGATCGTGTTCCATCCCTAAGAGAGACATTATTTTTGGTCCTCGTTTAAGACGAAAAATAATGTGTCTCTATTTGGGATGAATTTTGAGACGGAAGTAAATGACCCGTCTCAAAATCCGTCTCTAATAGAGATTGATAATTTTCTGTCCCAAATACGGACAAAAAATGATTTGTCTCTCTTAGGGATGAAACAAGATCCCTCATTAATAGCGATTGATTTTTCTGTAACTAGCGGTGATGGAATTAGAGATGCAAATACATGTTCCGTCTCCAATTTCGTCACTGAGAGAGATGGAACTTTTTTTATCTCGATCAGTGAGGGATTATATTTCCTCCTTATTTGAGACGAAAAATATTACGTCTCTATTTGGTATAGACTTTGAGATGAAAGTAAATGATCCATCTCAAAATTCATCTCTAATAGAAATAGATCACTTTCTGTCTCAAATATGGACAAAAAATATTTCGTCTCTATTAGGAAAGGAACAAGATCCCTCACTAATAGAGATGGAATTTTTTCTGTCTCTATTAGTGACGGAATTAGAGACGAAAATGCACATTCCATCTCCAAATTCGTCACTGACCCATTTTCAAAATAGTACAAGCTTGGACTAATTAAAAGACTTCTTTGGAAATCAAATCACAAACTTATGAAGAGAGACAATCGCGTCTGATAGACCCATGAGATATAAAAAAAGAAGAATAGAATGTCCAAAGATTTATTTCCTTTTAATAGAAAGGGAATGCCTCTTGGTCTTCTTCCAGAATCTGCTTCATTAATGGGGTGATTGTTCTTAATATATGGCTCTTGGTCGTGTTTGTGTCGAAGGTTTTAACCCGATTTCAAATTTGTGTCGTATTCGTTTTGAGCATTTTCGTGTTTGTGTCAAATTTATATTGTGTCGTGTTGTGTTGACTTGAATTGCCACCCCTATGACAAGCCGATAGGATTCATCATCTCTGCAAGTGATAGGTTATCCACAAGAGACCGTGGGAACTCGAATGATGTAAGAACCATCACCGTTAATTAAGGTAATTAATTAATTAAGTATGAGAATTAGGAAATAATTCCATAATTGACCCTAATAATTATTAAGAGGCTGTAATAATTATGATAAGTGATTAAGAATGCTGAAAGTCGCTTTACGGAAGAAAAGTGTAGATACCAGTTCTGCTAGTCAGTATAAATGCGTACCGAAAAAGTATCCCGAAAAATTATAATAAGTGCTTGATAATTACTAGAATAATATATAGGACTTGTAAAACGAGTTTCAAGTCAATATAATGAGAACTGGTGCCAGAAACTGATACTGGCTATGAAAAGCGCGTACCAGAAAGGTGCTCCGAAAAATATAATAAAAATAGGATCATTCTTGTAAAATCGAGTAGGTTAAGAATCCAAAGTTTGGGATTAAAATGCTAAGCGTAGCAATTAAAGTTAATACTGCGTGTTTAATGCTTAAGTGGCTATATATACTCATGTTAGGCTCAAAACCCTAGGTAACTATATTTCCTACGTGAGAATTGAGAGTGGTTGACCAGCCTTGAGCCTTGCTTCATGGTCTCTTCACCATTGTGAGGGTTTGTGACCTTTCCTTCCAATTCTTCTTCTCTTTTGTGGAGTAAACACTTGGGTGTGTGATTGGGAATGAGTATGAGGCTTCGTTTCTGAGTTTTGGTGGTTGTGCTGTGCTTGAGAGGGGGTTGTATTGGTGGTTTGTAGTGTTGGAGCCTTGGTCTTGGTGGTTAAAGCTCCAAGTGTCCATCTTTATGAAGATAAACCAAGTCTTGAGCACCATTTTTGTATTCTTTGGAAGTCTGAACCTTGGAGGCAGATTTGAGAGCTCCAAGAGCCTTTCTTTCTCTGTTTTGGACTTTGGTAAGTTGTACCAACCTTGATCATGTGTTTTGATGAGTAGAAGATGTGTCTTGGTATGTTTGAGGAGTTAAACAAGTAACCAATAGTTGTATAACCTTAATGTGCCTAAAAATGCATGTTTTAACGTGTGTAAGTGTTAAAAATGAAACCTTTGAAGGATATCTTCGCGAAAATGCAGAAACTGCATTCTGGCGCGAAATATCTGGATATTGATATCCGGATATGGGGATCTGGATATCCGGATATTGGATATCCGGATATTGACAGTGAGATATCCGGATATTGTATATCCGGATATGTCCCCGAGGAATATCCGGATATTCTGAGATTTCGTAGAACAGTAGTTGTGCTGTGTGTACAGTAGGCTATTGGGGGTTTGTGGACCCTAGAGTGATGAAGTTGAACTTCTATAATTAATGAACTAAGTCAGAATCATGTGATTAAGGGCTTGTGGCTTTGTTGGAACCCTTAAGACGTAAATCGTTAAAGGAGAACGTAGTCTTTATGTTAATGCTTTAGAGCTATGTATGTTGATATACTTGCTGGTCTTAAATCAGATTGTGATCTGTTGTGTGTTGGACTTGAGCTGTGAGGACTCTTGGCATTGGATAGTTAGCTTAAGAGGTAAGCTTTCGTGTCTTCGGTTTAGCCATGTTGTGGTTCCACCATGTCCCATGGGGGTATGGTTATATGAATGATGTGTTACATGCTTTGGATATTTTGAAATGCTTTTGAGCTGTTATATGCTAGTGCCTTTATGATATACATGTGGTGTTCCACCTATACGGTAAGCCTGAGTATGTGGTACATACAATAGGGTGAGGTTGTGGGTGAGGTGCAAGCGGTGTTCCTTGTACTACATGTAGGTGATAGACGTATTTCTGCATTTCTCTGGCTAGTAGAATAGTTACAACACACATGGCATGAATATCTGTTGCACTGCAAAGTTTTGGAACTGATATTGATATAAATGCTTTTAGAACTTATATTGCACATGTAAATGAGCTTGGGGTGGAAGATCCTTGAGGACCCCTTGTCTTTCCTGAGATTTCTAGTTTAGAGATCTCACCCCACGTTTGGGGAATGCTTATTTCAGGATCAGGTAATGTAGGGGTTGAGGTCCCATGCGGCAGGAGGCCGGAGCTGAGTTAGATATTGATGATATTATATGCTGACATGTTGGATGCTGGATATGCTTGCTGTTTTTATGCTTTTAGCTTCATGTTATGATTTTTTTTTTTTTTTTGTAAATTCATGTTATGATTTTGGATTATCTTGTTGAGACTCTGTTGTTTGTGTTGTTGATTTGGTGAGCGTGAGGATTGTCCATGCCACGTAGACTTGTTATGTCTTGTTTTAATTAGAATTGTATTAATGTATCAGGATATTTTCCGGATTACGTGATGTAATGTCGTGACTTAGATACTCACTTTATATTTTATATTGAGGTATTTCAGTTAGTTGTCTTGCAATTTACATACATGCATTGTTTTTATGAAATTGATTAAGTAATCAGCTCGGCTAAGTATAATGACGTCATAATTGAAAAAGAAAAAGATATTCCACAATTTTTAATTAAGCGCAGCTTAATACGATGTAATGTTAACAAGTCGGGTATACACGGGGTGTTACAAATGACTTCTGTAAGACTTGAGAATCTGTGCCCAATAAAGGGATTATAAAAGAGTCCATGAATCCATCTTTAGAGTTTATGGAAGAGGACTCCTAATTCTGTAAAAGCTAACTTCCAGTCATTCTAGAGTTGATACGATATCCTTGCTCTTAACTGGAAGATAGATAACGAGATGAAACGATGGATTGGCACAGTAACCCTATGGGAAAGATTGATCACTTGATCGTTCATCTAGCTTTGAGGCCACACAATATTGCTAATACTTTGTGTGATCATGTCAATCCTATTAAAGAGGCTTAATAAGCCCATGCTTATTTATATCGGTGGCTATTTGGGCCTAATATGTCATATACCTATATCACTAAGTTGGCTTGGACTAGTATATGATTTTGGGCCTATAAGAGTATAATGTAGAACCTATGAGATAGGATCTTGCAGGTGTTAAGTGGATATAATATTTGGAAAGTTTAAATATAATATTCATAAAGAATTAGATAAGTATTTGTAAAGTTTAAATATAATATTTAAATTAAATAAAAACTAGATCCTTATCTTAATTTAAATTTTGAATTTGAATTCGGATAGGATAAAGATAAGATAAATATCATATCAATGAACTTTAAATATTTTAAATTTCATTCATATCTTAATAAGATTAAAATGAAGCTTTATCTATAGGATTTGATTAAAAATAGTAATATAATTTGAATTCAAATTCAAATTATATAAAGACGCAATCCGTCTACGTTGCGATCAAATGTATGAAGCATAAATTCTATATAAAGATGAGACCTTTATATATAGGGAAAATTGTATATCATTATAAAAGATATAAAGTTATGTCATTTTAAGTAAGAGAAAGAGATAGATAAAGGAGGAGAGAGAGTGTGAATAAAAAAATATAAAGGTGTGAGTTCCACCTCTTTGTGAGAATGAAAGAATATAAGATGTGTCATTTATAAGAATAAACATTTTTTCCATATATATATATATATATGTGTGTGAAAATCATACTCAATATAGAATACTGTATACTGTATCGTACTTTATAGGTCAAAATTAAATTTGGTTTCAAATTACGAAGAATGGAATATTATTTTCCAGTAATTGATTGATAAATAAAAAAAACACACACAAACCAACATATGTTCCAATATAGTGTGTAATATTGGCCTAGTTGTTTATGTATTGGCGTTTAATATGGGAAAATCTATCGTGAGTAATACGTCTACTCATTGTGTGGCTTATATTAACCAATTATTTCTAAGCTTTATGTCCAATAATTTTTAATGATAATTTAAATTTTTATAAAATATATTTTTTAATGATACTTTATAGGTCAAGATATATCACTCATTATATATAGTCATATTATTCTAAATTTAAATATTAAAGTGAAAGTTATATATATGTTGATTGCATGTTACAAAAAAAAACCATACTTTAAATAAAAATATTAACCCGCCATCTTAAAAATTATTAACCCATGTTATTGTTTAAAAATTATTTAAGAAAATATTCTAACTTGTATTAAAAATTAAAAAATAATTGAAAATAAAAAGATAAGATTTCATAACTTCCCACTCACAACATCCCCTTAATTTCTCTTCCACCTCCCTATCTTTTCGATTCTGAAAGTTGAGTATCCATTGAGCATGGTTGAAGCAATTAGCAAGAAAAAATTATTATCTCTTTGGTAGGTGTTTTTATTTTGTTTAATCCTTTCACCTCTTCTTCTTTTGCTCATGTCGATTCATCTGAGTTATTTATTTGATTATTATGGCAAAACTAAACAGGGAAACATAACCCAAACAAGGTAGAAGAAGCTTTGCAATTCACCATTTTTCGACTAAATTTCCCCTGTAAGTATTATCTGCTACCATTTAGCAATATAATTACAAATGTGCAATCTAATTTAGTTAAATTGTACTGTTGTCAATTGATTGCTAGCTTAGTGCGTGTCGCCACACGGTTTTGCTATTACTATAAGCGTCCACCTTGAGGCCACCCGCCGCTAATTCAAGAGACATCATTTGTGGGATTGATTACGGGTTATCGTTTAGGCTAATGATTTTCTCACTTTTGGCATATGATGTAAATAGTAATAGACACTAATTTAAAGGTGGACCTGGCATTGGATGTATCTACAAATTCCTATACGATTTGTGACTTTATATTCATGGTTCTTTTCTATTATGAATTCTTACGAGACTATTTTTACATTTACATGCCAATGGTATTATCAAAACTAATATCTATATATATGCAAATTTTTAAGTCAGTTTTCATTTAAATTTGGAATTTTAAAAGGCAATGGTATTTTATTGTAATTAAGTTAAATCAAAAAAAAATTGTACCTACTCTAGTTCAGATTTAACTCCAACCATTAAAAAGTTTTGCATTGAGCCTGTACCTAGTTAATATGGTTTCCTTTTCCTGTCAAATCATTTAAAATACTTGTACATTATAGGCAAGGAAGCTCGAAGCTGAGATTGAAGTTACAAGGAAGGAGATAGAAAAACCAACAGAAGTTGAAGTTGACCTCAATTGAAGGCTTCATCAAAAGACTGATCATTTGATATAGAAACAATCCAAGGTGTGTCTTTCATACATCCGATTGTTTGTAATATTTTTGCAAATGCTCACGAATCACTGTTTGGTGGGAAAAGTCTTAAAACTTTGGTATTTGGTTTTAACTTGGTAAAGGTTTTAGAAGCTGATATAAATGTGCCCTTGATTCTACAATTGCCAAAATTGCAGTTTAATATTGATGTTAATATGATGATGTGTTATTATTGCACTACTAGAAAAAACTTGTATAGCGACGGAATTGTTATGGAAATTCCGTCGTTAATTTCATCCTCGCTACTACTTTCCGTCACAAATTCCCTCGCAAACGATTTTGCGAGAAAATTTGCGACGAAAAGTAGTATAGAGGATGAAATTAGCGACAGAATTTTCATAACAATTCCGCCGCTATAGAGATTTTTTCTAGTAGTGTTGCAAGTTGTTGGTGGTATGAACAAGAAATGTTGAATATATGATTTAGGTGCAGAGGCATGGATTTATAAGTCCACAAAGATTTCTGCCAGATCGTCAGGAATCTCTACAGATGAGTATGATTGCATGAGAGACACGATCACCAACTTATCTAGCCAAAACGAGCAGCTGAAGCAAAAATATGAGAACACACAACAACAAATGACTATTATGAAAGATCAAACAGATCAAAAATAACAATATGAAAGAGCAGCTGGCGATGTTGACGGCTCATTTAGGAGGGGATGTGCGCACTTTCACCACTATGACTCCGGCACTAGATGCACAACGTGATGATTATGATGATATTGATGCTCAGTTACATGGCGATAATTGATAGGATACATATTTTCTTTTCTTATTTTCATTTGTGAATATTATTTGTTGTCTCATACATTTGTTATTTTTCATGAATTCACGTTAAAACTTATTGTATTACAATGGTTGGATTTTATTTGGTACTTCATTTTCACTTAGTATTAGCTACTTCATATTTTGTGTTAGTTTGTTGTAGGAATATTATATTATAATTAATAAATTAATATTAAGTTTCAATAAAAATTAAATTTTCAATGTAATTTATTTTAAAAAAATTCAAATATTAGGGATGAAAAATAGAGAAAGAAATATTTGTCACCAATTGGGATGGAAATATTGTCACTAATAGATACAAAAATTTCAGTCACTAACAGAGACAAAAACAATCTGTCACTAAAAGAGAGGAAAAAAAATATTCCTCACTAATAGAAAGATAAAATATTTGTCACTAACAGAGATGAAAATTCTTCGTCGCTAACAAAGACGGAAAACTGTTTGTCACTAACAAAGACGAAAAAAATCCCTTACTAATAGAGACGAACAATTTCTATCCCTAATAGAAACAGATTACGCAATTTCATGTGCATAAATTAGTGACAGAAAATAATATTACAGAGACGGATTTATCCATCACTATCAGGAAGGGAAATATTTTTGTCTCTGATAGAGACAGAATTTTTTCCGTCTCAGATAGAGACTGGTTTATTTCGTCCTAAAGTTCGTCTCAATTAGGGACAGATTCATAATTCTGTCTCAATCTGTTAGTGACGAGCCATAATGTAACGGATTTTTGTCCGTCTCTAATTCCGTCACTAGTCTACTTAGTGACGAAAATATTTCACTTAGTGATGAAATTATTCCATCTCTAATTGATATTTTTTTAGTAGAACTGGTTGTTGAGGTTCTTAATATTGATGCATTCTTTGCTATTAGGTTCTTAATTTTCCCAATCACGCACACCCTTTAAAGATACTATCATGAATTGTTATGTGTCAAAAATTAACTCTCTTAAAAAAAATTAAATTGTTAGGTGAATGAATATTCAACATTATATATATATATATATATATATATATATATATATATATATATATAAAAGGTGATAATAAAATATTTATATGGTTTCAATAATAAAATTGTTTAGATTAAGATAACTTTTCGACATTATATGTATGTTGTAAAATTGCTTGCAGTTTCCAAATTTATATTCATACACAGAACATATGCATAAATGGCTACTAACACTCTTTACGAACTACTGTCTTTAGACTCTTGTTATCCAGGAGTTATTTTGAGTCCTCACTAATTCGAGTCAAGTTGGATGGAATCACTTTGGGAAATAAAGTTCTTCTAATGCTGTTTTTCTCAATTTACAAGAATTGAAATGGGAAGCTGAAAAATCTCACCTTCCACATTAGCGATTGAACGAGTATAGAAGTCCTTGTTTCAATTTCCCTTTTTCACTTTATGTTGATTCCTCTTGCGCGAATTGTGAAAAGAGTAGTAAGATGGTTCCTTTATATCTACCATTTGGGTTTTACTGTTTCTAGATTGAATATTTCCTTATTCCTTTTGTCTTAATGTAGCAAGTTGCAAGAAGTACAAATTGGTACACAACCACACGATATAGATCAATTTCACCCACTAAGGGCATCTTTCTTTCACTACACGGTTTTTAATTGTGGATGCGGGCTGATGCTCACTTCTTGTAATTAATTGCTATCTGAAACTACCAATTTAAAGCCCTGTTTCACTGAAACGCGACCCTCAATTGTTATTGAAAATAAGACAATGTAATTTTTGTAATTTTCTAGAGGCGGTGAGGCACCCTAGAAAACCTATGAAAAATATTGGCCTTCTCTTTATATATATAAGTACTTCTATATTAGGATAAAGGAGAACAAAAAAAAAAGGGTATAGTACCCCCTAGCTAATAGGGGTTTTTTTTATCTTAAAAGACCAGGAGAGGGACCATATGAGCTATGGCTCACCGAAAATGAATGCCCCTATTTTAAGTATTAGAGCTTTGCATTTCATGAAGTGAAAAGGTAAAAAACTTGGAACACAAATCATTCACAGGTTTTCTTCAAAGATTGTAACGAAACAATAGATTCAGAAAATATCAAGACAACTCAGCGTTTAGTGCTTGCTTTGACCATCGCTCAAATAGTAACATATCAATTACACCAATAAAAAATCTAAGATAAGTTTGTAAAATTTAATTTCCGACGAGGGCAAGCCAAGCTGCCTCATTTTCATTGATATACATCATGCATAGAGCATGTAAAAAGTCTAGGGTAGAAGCATTAGATACAGAAAATAGAAAAGCATGCAATTCCAGCTCTATGGTGATGCAGGCCAATGCATTCCAGCATCTTCGATACTTTCATAAAACCTGAACTCAAGCTCCTCTAGCCTTCCTTCATCATCCCACACCCCATCATAACTCTCACCTTCATCGTCATAGTATTCATCCATGTCCCCCCCAGCCACAAATTCCCAACCCAAATACTCAGAAGAATCTGAGATATCAGAGCAATCTTCCCAGTCATCCCTCTCGTAATAGTAGTAGTCTAGAACAAGAGGCCCCAAAACTTTCAGTTTTGGATAATTCTGCTTTACAAACACGTTGTCAAGTTTGACACCCCAAGACCCCCTCAGATCCAAAAGTTCAAGCTTAGGACAGTTTGAAAGAATTTGAAGAACACCATCATTGCTGATAACATGGTAAACCATTTCAAGATGCTTGAGCTTAGGCATAGTGGAGGCAATTGCAAATGCTTCATCATCTTCTAAAGGATTGCCTGCAGTATCCACTGGATGCATGTTCCGACACAAACCTTCAAGCAGTTTGCAGTTCTTGCCAATTATATCTAGCGCATGTGCATCAATTTCAAGACAGTAGCTCACATCTAAGAAAGAAATCATACAAAGCCTTCTAGTAACCAGCTCCACTATATGATCATTCATATTGCTCCTTGGCAGTCGCAAATTTTGGAGGGAGGCAGCACTTGCAAAAGAGTAAATGGAAACCACATAAGAAAGATGTCTAATTTGAATACAAATCCAGCTAAAACCACCTTAATTAATTCTAGTACTACACCAATTTGATATTCCAGTTATTTAATGCATGACAAAGGGGATATCAACATAGCTACATAGAGAATTTAGTTATGGCATTTTAATGTGAACCAGCAGAATTTAAAACTTAACTAAATGTCAACTTCATATTCTACATTTAGCAATGAACATAATAATCAGTGAAGTATTTAATCTTAAGAGTTCCTCTTAACTGCAATAAACACCAAATAATGGGGCCATGTAAATTGAAATCTAGCAATTCTGCTTACTTTTCTGCAATGAAAGTGAATATTTTCTCAGTCTGAAGACCAGAAACAGATAGCTTGCGGAGGGCTCCAGAGCTTCTTGTGATCAGCATCTCAACCATCCGGTCAAGGTGGTCAGGCTCGCAGCGGCGGCTCCACTCCTCAATGTCTATCTCTTGCCAGCAGTAAGGTCCAGTTACTGCTTTAGCCCATGATTTACATACCCTGGGAATCACCGTCAATCTTTCCTGGAGAGAAAGATTTGAGAAGATTATCCCAAGAGTGTCAGGCATTAATTCATCCCAACTACGAAAATCAGATGCTACTTCCATATGTCCTGCAACCGAAGAAAATCTTGTAATGTTATGTTTCGGGTTAGGACTCAAGAAGCAAATATAAATCCGCACCTTTAAAGCATTACTAGAAATGGAATTCCTCAATAGAAAAAGTCATATATCATATTACAAGACCAGGCTCAAAAAGATCTCTCACAACCATATGAGTAATAGTTCAAAAGCACATTCTATAAACAACTGGTAAGGGTATTTCTTTCAGAAAGGATTAGAGAAATTGAAAAATTGGATTTTTTTTATTTGGCAAAGCATGAAAGTAAACGTGGGCAAATATAAGATCATAAAATTTTGTAGCATTACATGTTCATATGATGGGAAGAATAGAATTGCCAGAACATTTGTATAGGCATAGCTGTCGGAAGGTTGGGAGAATGCTAACAATTATATACATGCAGTACAAGTCATTGATAAAAAGAACAAATACTCCAGGCCTTCGATGAAAAATAATCGGTAGATTTTAAAAAAAAATAAAAAAAATGAACTTTCAGTTTCAAGATTGCAAATCTAGATTACATAAACATTTCCCAGATAAAAAAAACCTTTTTTTTTTCTTCCCCCCTCCTTTCTCAGTTCCTAAAAACCCAGAGAGAGAGAGAGTACAAATCACTCACATACAACCAAATAGATTGGAGATTTACCAGTCCAAATCTTTGGCCAGTGCTCTGTGTTTCTTTCAGAACTCGAATTATGTAAGCATTCACCAGCTAATCCGCCACATGCGCAAGGAAAAAGAGAAGAGAAAGAAAAAAGATGCAAGGGGTAAAGCTCAAGAAAAAATGAAAATGAAAAAGAAAAAGAAAAAGAAATCCAAATCCACCCACCTCAACTTCAATGCAACAAGAACAAAAGTAAAGACAGTGTATCAAAACAAGCTACTTGTAGAGAAGAGAGTTAAAATGGGCCTGAAACACGAGATGACGTTGCGAACAGATTTTGCTCTGAACAAAAAAGAGTTTTTAGATATATATATACTTGGAAAAATAAATGAGAGGAGGAGGAACCCCATAAGCGGAAAATATCCCCTTTTTACTGCCACACTCAAACTGTCAAAATCGGCTTCGCCAAAAATATTAAAAATAATAATATTCTTAGAGAAAACATTTCATTTCTCTTTAAAAAGTTTGGCATTTATACCAAAATAAACTTCCATATTAATGGCATTTTATGTAGCTCATTTTAGTTGAAAATCAAACACCTGTCTTTAATACATTGTTTTTCTCTCTTCCATGTAATAATCAGCATTGGTGTGTTTGATTTTTATTGAAGGAATATATGGAAAAATGGGTGAGACTGTAGTATTATAGAAAATTCCCATTTTATGATGATACTATTTAATATTTTAGAAAATATTTATTCCTCCCTTCAATACGTTACTCTCTTTAAAATTATAATAAATTATAGTACATGGACTCCGTGGCATTAAAAAAATGAAAGAAATTAAAAAAAACGCGTATATCAAATTAAATAAGTCCATATAATAAATTAAATAGATGTAACGCTAAATTCTTGAGAAGTACAGTAAATACGATGAGAGAAGGGCATGGACTGGTCAAGGTGTACTTAATGTCAAGCTCCATTTTCCGGTGTGGACTTTCTTGTCCCAACACTGAATAACTTTGATCCTTCTTTAATGCTGTAAACACGATTTAAAATCATATCCCAAAACACAAAACAAAAAATAACTTGGTGGTAAATAAGTAATTACATGTAACAGTGTATTTATTCGTATTTGCTAGAGGTAGGTGGGTTTATAAAATGTGATTGTTCCTGGCGTTACTAACTACCCAGCACGCCAGACGAGTATGGTAGCTGTATGAATTTGATGGTTTTCATTGGAAAAAGAGGTTCATTGACCGTTATAGGTTTTCATTTTAGCGAAAGCAACCCTTCACGAGACTCGTGAAATTTGCAACCTGCCACAAAATAAGGCCAAAAGATTTTGAAGAGGGCCGAGCCATGTGAATACTCACGGGCTGGTTCATCTTCATTATAATCCGTGGATTTTAAACTATATTCAACCATCCCATTAGTATATATGTTACGAATTAACGTATGATATGTTACGAATTAACGTATGATATGTTTCGACAGTTTGCCACAGAATTTGCTTCCATAACAAACAATTGAATTTATCATAGAGTACACACATTATCAAGGATGCCTTAGCCCAACTAAATGTCAAAATAAAATGTACATTCCTAATTGTACAACTAGCTTGTAACAAGCAGGATTGTATGAACGAGTAATGTCATTTACAACGATTAAATGTAGAGTTGACGGAGCAAGATGGGGCAATGCAGTGCTGTGTACAATGTGTACTCACAGCTTTTCTCTTACACAACAGATGAATAGAGAAAAGTACTAGAAACAACTGTAGTAAGAGAGATACAAACTGAACTTAAGCTTACATCTATTTTTGCGTTACAAATCTCTTGTTAAGACTTTTTGACCATCGAGGCCTTTTTGACCAAATAAGTATTACTTTACGGATTTTTTTTATTACGATATCGATGCACATTTTTTTGGATACTTCTTTTTCAATAAAGAAATTTTATTTTATATTTATATCCCTATCTTCTTTTTAAATCACTTCTCACTCTTTTTTTTTTTTTTTTTTATCAAGGCACACCAAGGCCCGATCCACCGTAAATGACCTCTTACTTTATCTCTGTTCTAAAACATTTCATCAATTTGACTATTGACTGAATCATATATTTGACTACATGGTCTTATATTTGAGTATATTTCGTATTTTGTATTTATTTTTTTGAATATTTATTCAAGTGTAGGATTCAAATACTTGAATATTTATTGTTCCATGCAATATACTCGAGTATAGAGGTCATATACTCAAATAAATGTTCAAAAAATTTCCTACTCGAATTTTTCAACACGTAGAACTTGAAAAGTCACGTGGAGTAAAAAAAATAACACATGATTCGGACTTCCAAATCAAAAGTTATGGCTGTTGGAAATTTTACTCTATAATTTTTAAAATTTTGTAATGCCGATTGATTTTGTGATACCCACAAAACACCCCTTAAAGTTCCAGTAGGAAAATAATATTTACTCGAGTACAAGACTCGTGTACTTGAGTATATTACGTGAAACAACAAATACTCGAATATCTGAATCCGATACTCAAGTAATTGTTCAAAAAAACCAGAATACAACATATATTCGAATATAAAGTCATGTACTCAAGTATATGAGTCAGGTCAAATAGAAATATATTGGTGAAATATTTTGGAACAAGGGCAAAATAATACTTATTTTGATAAAAAAAAAAAAAAAAAAGAACACAATGATCAAAAAAATCCCCTGGTTTATGTGAGAAAGTTATCTATGGAAAATTTGTTCACTATTCTATCGTGAAGATTCACTACATTAATTATCTGAATTTATTTTACCAATTTTTTAAATAAATATTTCTGGGTAGAACAATCAAAATGATACAATTTTGAAAAATAAATATTAAAATAATATATTTTGACCAACTTTAATCAAGTGGATCTCATGAACGCGACATTGGCAAGTGCCATATTTATGTGACTGTATAGTTAAAAGTGATCAAAATTAATTAAATTATATCATTTTAATAAATAAACTTTAAATTATATTAAGATAATAATTTTAAATATATTATCTTGTTCATTATCCTGTTTTCAACTTATAAACTTGATAAGATTTACCTTCTTTAAATTATTTTAAAATTTCTCTATTGTGATATGATATATACGTGTCAACTTCAGGCAAGTGTTAAAAATATTATCTGTATATATTACATTGTTATCTATGAATATTTATTTCTTTATTTCATTAAGATTTGGATTAGGTCCGGACTTCTCTTTTAAGCCAATTAAGTTCTCTATATATTATACATCTTTGTATCAATTTAATACACAATACAATATTGAGATTTCCATATTCTCAAGTTCTTTTAACTTATTGGGCATTTGGTAGAGAAGAAAAAAATTTGTGCTTGTGAGTCACAATTTAATACACAATACAATAATATAATTTCTCACTGTCCCTGACACAACTTTATTGTCATTGGTTGAGGCTAGGTCACCACGGATGGCATTATTGCCTGTAGGAGTTGACTTTTCCCCCTCACTACTAACTATCTTATTTTTTGCGCTTTGGGATTTGTTGTTTGACTTCGCCACTCTACTATCCTTGATCCTGTCGCCTGCTACCTGTACATTCTTTTCCTTGTCAGCAGCGGTGACCTTTGCTTTGGAAACTGTAGCTTCTCCCTCTTGCTTAGAGTCGTCGGAGTGCCTTGGTTTCCTTTTCCCGGCACGGTAATTTTGGCCTGAAACCTTCTACCCTTGCCTCTTTTCTTGACCACCATCCAAGCCCCAAAGGCTTCTTCTTCTCCCTTATCCACGTTCGTCTTCTCTTCAACCACATCTGATGGTTTAACCCCTCCTCTTATCTCTTCCTGATTGGTATTCTTGTCAGTTCCTCCTGGGCAAAATTCCATCCTGTGACCATACTTACCACATCTGAAGCAAATCAGGTGAAGGCCCTCGTAGGCTATTGGAAACATTTTACCGAGAAGCTGGAATTTGTAGATGAAGTTTTTCCTCAGGTCAATTTCCACGCATAGCCTTGCATATTTTGCTTTCTCTGTGTACTCTCCCTCTCCTCCGTCTGATTTCCTTAACGAATTCCTATCCACTTTCAGCATTCTCCCAATCAAGTTCCCTATCCTCCACAAATGCTATGATGTGTAAAACTCCAAAGGTAACCCTGAGATTCTTATCCACACTGCTAGTGTAAGAACTTCCACCGTTAATTAAGGAAATTAATCAGTTAATTATGAGTTTAATAAGTTAATTCCATAATTGACCCTAATAATTATTATGAGACTCTAATAATTATGGTAATTGAGTAATAATGCTGAAAGCCGTTTTTCTGACGAAAAATGTATATACCGGTTCTGTTAGTCACTATAAATGTGTACCGATAAAGTATCCCAAAAAATTATAATAAGTGCATGATAATTCCTAGAATAATATATAGGACTTGTAAAACGAGTTTCAAGTTAAAATAATGAGAACTGGTGCCAAAAACTGATACTGGCTATGGAAAAGCGCGTACCGAAAAGGTGCTGCGAAAAACAAAATAAAAATATGATAAATTTTGTAAAAATGAGTAAGTTAAGAATCCTGAGTTTGGGATTAAAATGCGAAGCGTAGCTATTATTGCTAATACTGTGTGTTTAAGTTGTAAATCGGTATAAATACCCTTGTGTGGCCCAAAACCCTAGGCTAATTAGTTTTCCTGCGTGACTCCTTGGGTGGCTGAGTGCTTGGCACTGTTTCATTGCCATTCTTCATCATTTTGGGACCAAGCTACTACCTTTCTCTTGATTTTTCTTCTCCTTTTCCTTGTAAACACTTATGTGTAGCATTGGGAGGGTGTTGAGAGGATTGTTTCTGAGTTAGAGGGTTAGTTTGGGAGTTCAAGGTGCTGAGTTTTCTGTGTTGTGAGGTTGGAGCCTTTGTCTTGAGTGTGGAGGCTCTAAGAAGCTTTCTTTGAAGAGAAAGGTGCCTCCTTGTAGTGCATTTTCGTGACCCTTTGGTTGCTGCTCTGTGGAGTGGTATTAGAAGTTTCTTTTCACTGCCATTCTTTGTTTAGAGAAGCTTGGTAAACATACTCAACCTTTGATCATGAGTTTAATGCTTAAAAACTGAACCTTGATGCATGTAATGAGTTAAAGTTGGTAACTTAACGTTGGGTAATATTAAACACACCTTAAATCGTATGTCTAAGTTTCTGTATGCTTGAAATGAGCCACATTTGGGAGGGATATCTCGCGAAATGCAGAACTGCATTCTGTCGCGAAATATTCGGATATTGATATTCGGATATTGGCAGAGAAATATCTGGATATTGATATTCAGATATTGATA